ATTGATAGAAATTTTAGTTGATTTTTATAAATTGAATGGGACTCATTCTGAAGAGAATTTAGTGAATCTTTTATTAATTACTATAATGAATTTAAAATTTTTACCAAAGTATGTATATATTTTTAATTTTTTAAAATTTAATATAAAAATTATAATTTATAATTAATTATATTATAGATTTAATGTTATACAACTGATAATACTAGAAATAATAATACCATGATAGAAGAATTTGAAAAAGAATGTCAATTACAAAATATTAATTTTACTGAAAAAAATAATACTATTTGATGTTTTACATATATTATAAATTTATTTACACAAAATATACAAATTTCTTTAAAAGCTAATTATTTAGAAAGTGAAATTGAAACACTTCATAATGAAGTAATAAGTAGCATAATTTCAAAGGTAATATTTTTTAAACTTTTAAAATTAATTTATAATTTATAATTTATATTATATTTATTTATAATATAGCTTCGTAAGCTTATTGTTAAAATTAGAACTTCATCTTAACGTTATGATAGGTAAAATTTTAGATAAGATTTAATTAGTAGAATATGAAGTTAATTTTATTGCTATGTAGATCTTCTATGAAGATCATTTTGTCCATTTTATTACCATCGATCAATTATGTAAATCCTTAGATGTCAATTTTATTGCCTTTGATAATCATGTAGATCATAGATATCCATTTAATTACCTGCAAATCTGATAATTTTATTGACATAACAACTTTATTGCCTAGTGAAATAACAACTTTATTTTCTTTGATATATTTAGTTTAGTTTATTTTATTATTTATTTAACATGTATAAATATCTCTGTATTTTTTTTGAATCTCAGCATCAATGAGATATTAATCTTTTAAGTACCAAACTTATATATTATATTAATAAAGAAGTATAATTAACTAAATATAAAACTTATCCTTTGCAAATCCATTGAAACTGTTATAAATTATCTGTGATTCTTTGCATTTGTGTAAACCCTTTTGTTAGTGAACTTATTATATGATATTATATTAATTCGCCGTATTGACTTGGAGTCTCTGAAGTGTAATCTCTGAAATATCTTTGAGTTATTTTTGTGTTTATTTTGTGTCTATCTCATATGTTTATTATTGAGAATAATTCTTTGAAGTTATTGTGAATCCTCACCTGTGATTTCTTGAGTAATTGTCTTAGTTTTATTTACTCTTTGAGATTTTATTTGAAGTTACAAAACCAACGTAATAACATCATAAAAAATTTTACATTAATGTGATGTAGCTTTTCTTCCTGTTAAAGAACTTACATTAAATATAAAAATAAGATAGAATTCTACTTATAATATAATTAAACATAGTTTGAATTATGTAAGATTAGTATTAAAAATTTATTAATAATTATTATAATTATTAAAGACTTTAGATAATACAGGAATATATGAATGGAAATTAAGATTATTTGTTTTAAATGATTGTGAATGAAATTTATTAAAAGAATAGAAAATTTATTATAAGTAAGTAATAATATAATTAATTATATTATAATATTATTTTAATTAATTTATTTAATTTATTTATAGTATTTTACATAAGTAATAAAATATGTTTCACATAAAAGTTTTCCAACAATTACAATGCCAACCTATAATTGGTTAATAAATATGATTAAAGATTTTCAAATAAAAACTTTAATAAAAGAAATAAATACTGTTACAGTAGTATTAGAAAAATTGTCATACAAATTCTAATGCTTATTCTATTACTACTAGTAAGTTTTATTTATTTTATTTATTAATTTTAATTTATATATTATAGTCAACTCTTGATATAGCAAACTCTTGATATAATAAATTTTTTGAATAAATATAATAAAAATACTCTTGTTATAGCGAATTAGCCAATTAAATCTTTTAAAATCTTCACTATAGCCTTATAGCGAATTTGAGGTCTAGGATATAGAGTTTGTTATAATAAAAGTTGACTGTATTAATTTATTATTGATAATTTATAGTACTTGATCTATGATTAAAATTATCATATTATATTGATAATTATTAGGAAGTAAATTTTATTAAGAAATCACATGAAATTTTATTTCTTATTTCAATATGCATTATACATCATTGATGATAGATTTAGAAAATCTAAATGAATGTTCTGAAAAAGATGATAATTTATTAAATCATATATATAAAGGATAACATATAGAAAATATTAATGAAATAGAACATTATCTTAATGCTCTACTTGCACCTTTAAAAACTAATTTATTATAATAGTAAAAAGTAAGTAATATATTTTATTAATAATTTTATATTATTTTAAGCTTATTAATTTTATTTTTTTTTAGTTAAATGAATTACAATATCCTTATTTAGCAAAAATAACAAGAGATTTTTTAGTTATTTCAGGTAAATAAATTTATAATTTTATGAAACCTTTATAATTTTAATTTTTAATCAATCTAATTTATATTTATTTTTAAGTTACTAGTATTCTGATAGAAAATGCATTTTCCAAAGAAACTGATCTAATTATACAAAAAGATGTAATTTATCAGCAGAAACAATTAGAACATATATATATCTTAAATCTTAGTAGTAAACTATTTTAAAGAAAAATAAAATTTTTTTATTTTGTATTTTTTTATTTTATTTTTATTTTTTTTTATGATTTTGATTTAATAAAATAATATATAAAACTTATAATATCATATAATTTAAAATAAATTTTTTCATATTTAAATATTTATAAGTTAATTAAAATTTAACTCAAAACTTGATTTGAACTTGACTCAACTCAAATAAATTCAAGTCAAAATTAAGTTAAATTAAACTCAATTTGAGTTAAATTGAGTCAAGTTTAAAATTTATATAACTCAAATCAAGTCAAGTTAAAAGATTTTATAAAATAAATTTGATTTGACTTGACTTAAAAAAATGAGTTTAATAGAGTTGATCTTTAAACTTGATTCAACTTGATTCATTCAGAACTCTAAACTATCAATGTATTTTAAGTTTCTTTTAATAAAAAAAATTTGGAAAACTTTGGAACTAAGGCATATCTATTTGTTTAACATATTATTTTCAACATCTAAAAATATACTTAAAACAGATGTTGCTAGAATAAATAAGTATTTGTATACTAATACTGCTAGTATAGAAAATTTTTATTAATTCTAATTTTATCATTCAAATAGATTAATGAAAGGATCTGCTTTTTCTGTAATATTTTTATTAAGGTAATTATCAAACTCACTTGCTTTTCTTTATATTTTTGATTTTTATGAAGTATATTTAAAATTGAATCGTCTGCTAATTATTTTTTAGCAGTTAATAGTACTTTTGATTCTTTATTTTAATTTAACTCTTAATTTTAAATTTTTATATATCTGTTGCAATTCAATTTTAGTTTTATTTTTAAATTGTTATCTAATAAAAAATCAAGATTTTTGCATCTAAAATCTAGAATTATTGAAAATAAAGTATATTAATTAGGCTTTTGCTAATAATAATCAAGAGACTTAATGATTATTATTAGTACATTTTAATTATTTGAAGAGAATTTGCAGATTCTAGTTAAAATTTTTGTAAATATATTTTCTATCATTTCCTTAATGAGTCACTATAATTAATTTTCTTTATTATTTTATGTAAATTATATTTATAAGGTCTAATAATAACTAGTTTATTGCTTATTTTATCTAATTCTGAATTATTTAAAATTTTATTTTCTTCTTTTGATTCATCAAAAAATCTTCTTTTATATTTTCTATATAAGTAAAAAATGTAAATTTATTATATTTGAAAAAATTATAAATAAATAAAATATTTGTTAATTTTAATAATTTACTATTATTATTATTAATAATAATATTATTAATTTTATCATTTAAATTATCAAAATTAATATTATAATTTTTCTCTAATTTTTTTTTATAAATTAATTTTAATGTTTGAACGACTAGTAATATTGATAAAATTATTACATATTTAACTTTATTAAAATAAGTTGTTACTTTATCAAATAGTTTAAAAATCTTACACAATTTATCTAAAAGAATCCATTTTTCTTTATAAAGCATTATCTTTATCATCTTCAAGATGCAAAGTTGCATTTAAATGAATAAAAGCCTTTTTTAGTTCAATTAATCATTTTCATGACTTATATTTAGAATTCTAGCATGTTAGTATTTTATTGATATTTTTAAATATATTTGTAGTTAGATTTTCAAGTGATTTATCATTAGGATCTTTATTTAAAGTTTGGCTTTTTTTATTTAAATCATTTTATATTTCTTGAAGTCATTCAAACCATTTTGGTGATTGAAAAAATTTAACTAAATTTCTATCAACATTTAACTTGTTTATTAATTGATTTTAATGTATTAATAACTATTAATTATATGAATAGCCTATATATAGTAACCTTTGTATCTTATCATTCTTTTGATTTAAAATATTAATAACAACTTTTATATTACTTCCATTATCTAATATTACACAAATAATCTTATTCTTTAAATGATAATCTTTTATATACTTTTTTAAATATTTAGATATAGCTACTACTGTATATAGATATTGTATATTTTTAATAGTAATTAATGTATTATATAGTTTAAAATTTTTATTTACCTAATGACCAGTAATTCTGATATATTTTTTTTTACTTTTTGCTGTCCAGAGGTCTATTGTGATTGAAATAATTTCTCAAGTACTAATAATTAATGATAATAATTCCTTAAATTTAAGTTTATATATCTATAATTAAATTTTAATTATCTTATCATAAGGGATGGAATAAGATAGATCTAATCCAAAAAGAAAATTTTTAAATCTATTACTATTTAAGATATAAAAGAATTGGAATTAGTAATAATAAATTCAAGTAACAATATATTTAACTTATAATGATACATTTCTTCATAGGATTTTACTTTTTTGAATATTAAGTCAATTTTTATTCGTTGTATTTTTGATTCAATTATATTATAAATTAAATTCAGTTAATATTTCATATTTAACATAGAACTTTATTATATATTAAAGTTTTTCATTATAAATCTTCTTAAAATACTTTTATACAATGTTCTTCTCAGATTTAAAAGATAATTTTATTTTTTTTGTTAATTGAATTCTAGTTGATTTTAATAATAATGACCTTTTAGAAATTGTAGTGAAAAATGCAGCCTTTAATAACCTAGATAAAGAATCTTTAATATTCTTATAATCAATATATTTAGAAAAATCATCATTCAATTTATTATCATCCATGTTAAATTCTTTATAATGATTACAATGATATATATAATATAAAATAAAGATTTATTTTAAAAAATTTATAACTAAAATTAATTTAAATGGTTTTTCTTTTACAAAATTGACTTAACTAAAAAAAACTTAATACTATTTTAAGATGATCTGCATTTTAAATGATTAAATTAATTAATTAATCGATTAAATTAATCAGTTAGATTAATCAATTAACTAATTTTTAAAGTACTTTAATTAATTAAATAACTTAATCGATTAATTAATTAATTAATCTTAATCAGTTTCAACCTTTACAATAATAATATTATTCTTTTTGAATAATTTAAATTATTGTTTCTTTAAAATATAAAAACATAACATCAGTTTTATTTTTTTCTAAATTTTACTATATTTTAGCTAGAGCATTGTTAAGCTTAAATACTATATTGTTAGGATAACAAAGCTTATTTGCTAACAGTGAGTTTAAGTTATAAACTATAAAAAAAATAAACACGAATTTATTTACGTTAAAAGGTTAAATCATTTTTATTGATTATTTATATTTTAAGAAAATAGATATTGGCAAAGATATAGTTTTTATGTTATTAAGATTATACTTATTAATTGTATTATAGAAACTTGTTATTTTGTCAAGGCAACAATACAGGATATTTATATAAAATACAATTATAAAAAAGAGATAATAACTATAATAATAAAAGTAAATATAACTATGATAATAAATATAGTAAATAAAATAATGATAAATGTAATAATAAAGAAAATAAATATCACAATGATAACCGTAATAGTAGTGAGATTGATGAAAATGATAATCATAATTTTCCTAGTGATCATTAGTGACATTATTTGACGCAGTCATTTAGTGATGTAAACGGATTATCAATAACAGTATTTAATTGATAAAAAAATTATAATTGATAATTTAAATGATCTCTTACTTACTTGATTAATTAAAATTAATTTATTTAATTGTTTACATTATTAACGTTACTCTTTCCGTCAAATAAGTTAACTATGATTTGAAGTCAAGGAGATAATAGCTATGACTTAAATTCAATCAACTTGACATGCTGTTTATTAGAGAGTTTATTTAGTTAATAAGAAATAAATTATAAGTTTTATGTTTGCAAAATGTTAAGATTGTTTATTATTATTATTAATGTATATTAAATACAATGTTGAGAATTTGTTGGAATCTGTCCTTTTTTCAAGGCATTTCCATATCCTTTATATAGGAAAATTATAATTAAAGAAAATCTATAGTAAATATGATACTACTGATAATAATAATAGAGCTAACAGATATGCTAATTATGTTAAATATGATATAAATGATAATAGTAATATAAATAATAAAAATATAATAAATATTATGTATATCCTATTTGGCAGATATGACAGATATAGCAGATTTGACATATTTGGTATATATATTATATTTGACAGGTTTATCAATTTTTGCTAGTTTTAACATATGATCAATTTCTTAATTGATTATATTGTTCAATTAAAGAATAAAACTAAAAATCAAATTTTAATTGCTTTATCATTGATTGATTTTATTAATATTAATATAAGCATTAAAAAATTACAATAGGCTAATTTTTATCAAATTATAAATATTATAATAACAACTAAAATCTCTTTAATTTACAAACATACAATTATATAAAAGGATTATAACATTTACTATTTCATTTTACAAATAATAATTCATTAACAGTTTCTGGTTTTAAACTGGTATGATCTTTAGTAATTTGATTTTTAGCATCACTAAAAAGCCGCTTACTTGAAATAGATGTAGCTGGTATACCCAAATATTTTTTAGCTATTTTAATTAAAGTTGAAAATTTATTTTTATTATTAATTCACTATTGAAATAAATTCATTTCGGATAAGCTTATGAGGTTCTAAAATTATCTAAATAGTAATTGATTTCATCATCATTTTTATCTATTTTATATGATTCAAATAAATGTGATTTAAATCTGCCTGTTAGATAATTATTTTTTGAATTTATTTAAAGTATAATAGCTTCTTCATTTTTTAGTAAATAATATTCTCTTTTTAATGAAGATATTGCTATTTCACACACTTCTTTAAGTCATCTATACATTTTTTAAATCTTGAATCTAAAAGGCTAACAAGTATAGCAATTTCAGGTAGTAAATTAAAATATTTAAATAATGCATCATATATTGCTTTTATAATAAAATTAATAATATTATTAATTTTTGATAAAGATATTAGTGTATTATTTGGAAAAATTTATCTTTATCATTATTATCATTACTTTCTTTATCATTAAGCACACTTTTATTATCTTTAGAATCCTTATCTATATTAATATTATAATTATCTAAAAAAAAAGAATTCAAATATTAATAAATATAATTTAATTATTTAAATATTATACTTACCACTTTTGTTAATAATATTATCTTCATCTATATCTGATATATAATCATAATATAATGCATAAATAGATAGATATATTAAAGAAAGTATACAATATTTTTAATCATCTAATCATTCTGTTACTTCTTTAATTAGTTTAAAAAGAACAATTAATTTTTTAATAAAATTCATTTATAATCTAAAAGAATTCACGTTCTTAATTTTTTATAATCTTTTATAAATTCATTTTCTAAATATAAATTTAAAAGAACCTGTTTAATAGGATCTTTTAATACTTGTAATCTTTTTTAAGAAGCTAAAGATGATCTCTATCAGGTCTTGATATCATTAATAGTTCGCAAAATTTTTAATAGATATTGATCAATTAATGTTAAATCAAATAAAATTGAATCATTTTCTAGTTGTATATCATGTCTAGATGTAATTTCTTTCTGAGCCTCTTCTAATTGTTCATCTTATCTTGAAGAATTAAAAAATCAAATTAATTCCTTAAATCATTTGGTATATAATTTAATTTTTTCTAACCCTTTAATAATACAAAGTTGCAATGTATATGCATTATTAACACCATCCTATTTATAAATAGCTTTAATCATATTACTACTATTATCAGTAATTGCTACATTTATTTACTATCTAATCTAAGCAGTTAAAGTTTAGTTAAAATAGTTTGACAGATATTATCGCTATTATGAGAATAATTAATTAGTACAATACAAATTAATATATCATATAATTCCATATTTTTTATAAGCTAATAACATATAATTCTGATATAACCTAATTTTACTTGAGATGTTTAAAGATCTATAGTTATAGCTGCAATATTACAGGTATGAATAATCATTTCCTTTATAACCTGAAATGCAGCTTGATATCCATAATCAATATCTTTTTTGATCATTACATAACATGGTGACTTAAATGCAAGATTAAGCTTATTAATCATACGTAAAAATTCTTTTCTATTTGCTAAATTAAAAGATTGAGAATCTGTTACTAGCCAATCACTAAAGCATTTTTTAATTCACATTGCTTAAGTTCTTTATGTAGCATAACTTTTTATTTGATCATTTACTTTTAATTGTTTCTAAAAAGTAAAAATAATATATTAATTTAATATATATCTATCTGTAATAAAAATACATAATGATAATGTTATCTTACCAATTTTTTTAAACTCTTTATGAATGGAATTTAAATGATATTGTTAAGTATTAGTTTAAATATTATATATGCAACTATAATTACACTCTTTTTTTATTCTATTTTTTAATATTTTATATTCACAATAAGCACATCTATCAGTTTTGATTCCAAAATGCTTCTTTTAGTTAACTAGATCGAAATAATATTAGTTTAGTATTTATGTTTTCTATTTTAATCTAGCATTTAAAAAAATATTAAAAAAAAATTTGAATTTTCATGTTAAAATTAAATGTATTATAATAATCATCTAATATTTAAAATTTAAATATTATAAATAAAAAATCTGATTAGTTGCTATATCTTAAGAATAAAAAAATTTTTTCTTCTTTATGAATGTTAATGAACTTTAAAGAAATTATTTTTTTCCTTTTTTTTTATTTAATAATAATATTATCCAGTTTTATTTATTATTTATTTATATACTATATTATATCATAATAATATAATCAATCAAATATAATAATAGTTAATTGATTATTCATAGAAATTTAATCGATTAAAAATCAATTAAGGTTAGTCAAATTTTTGATTAATAGAATTATTTTGCAATTGATTAATTGATTAAAATAATCAATCATCAATTTTACTCAATTTGATTAAAAACCCTAATTTTAACTGATTTTAATCTGTTTGTCAATTAGAATTAATAAGTTATAAATAAGATAGGTCAAAATTTAACTAATTCTTAATATATATTATTTAGCTATTTGTATATTAATTAACTATAAATAAAATAAGTAAATTTGGCAGATTCTTAATAAATGCTAATCAGCTAGGCTAATTTTTGATAATTTGCTAATTTTAGGCCAATTTTTTTATTCAATTTTTTTGATTTTGATCAATATATATAAAGTACACAATAAATTAAATTAATAAATAAGCATATATATTATAAATAGAACTATTTTACATTATTATGTAATCTATTGATTAATATTACTGATTTGTTAAAAATAATAAATATTTAAAAAAATTTAATATTAAATGAATGCTTTTCTACAATTATATGTTAATATTAAATATGAAATTCTTTAGCTAAATAGATACTATTATTAAGAACTTTTTAATTTCTATAATGCTTGAAAAGTAAAAGCCTAAATATATCAATCTATATATTATAATATTAATCAAATATAGAATAGAGTTATTTAATAGAGATAAAATTAGATTTGTATATTTCATAGTATTTGATATCAATTATTAATTTCATATTTTTATGATTATAAATAGAAATAGATAATGAAAAATAAATACAAAAACTAAAGAATAAGAGTAAAATATAAAGCAAATTCATTTTTAGTTATTAATATTAAATTTACAAATTAAAGTAATTTTTAAAGTATAATATATATAAGTATAATAATGATTAT